CAACACACCTCTCTAAATCAGCTATCTGTTTTCTGAGTTGAGTTCAAATAAACAAAATTGTTTAAACCTGTGCTGTAAAACAAAATATTTTAAATAAACTGTCAATACTTCAATTTATGAAGTATTAGCACTCTGTTTCGGCCTCCTGCTACACTTTTCTGTCACCAAAAATACTCACTAATCAACAAATGTGTATTAATCCACATAATACAAGTCCTTGTAAATGCACTATTTATTCTTCTTTTGGTAGCTTTTGCTAAGAACTACAATGACTTGCTGTTTAGGGAAATGAAAGTGCCTGAAGGAATAAACAACACATTGTTGGTTTTGTTCTTATCATTGTATTTTTTTTAACAATAACAACTGTATAGACTAACACCAGCTTTAATGATTAAAGACTGCAAAACAGGATCATTTGAGGACAATTTAAAAAAGTTGTACTCGTATGTTTTACTTACATATTTGCATTTTTTATACACATATGAGAGTAAACTAACGATAATCTATTAAATCATTACATACGGCTCCTGCCCCGAGTGTCTACCTCTAAATACGTCTTTTTTTGCCTCATTTATTGGCCACCTTCATATCTCACCACCCACTGGAATAAACATATACAGTTAAATAATCATATATTCATTTTAGATATATTAGATCTCTTTATAATTTGGCTTTGAAAACTGCAACTCACTGAGAAAATCTGTTTAGTCCTCACAAAAGTATCCCTAAAAAACTTCCCAGACTGAAGTCACTTTCCTGATCAAACCTAGCAGACTAATGCCACTATCGTCTTTCTCTCCGAGCTCCAAAAATATACATATCTGATTCTCAGCAACCAGAGCCGGGTTTTGTCTCTGGAAGAGTTTGTTATGTGAGCTGAGCCTTCTGGCAATTTCTTTTTTCTTTCGTAGACATTACACACACGTCTTATCTTGTCCTTTTGTCTTTTCCTCCTGTAACATATTAAAAAACTCCCCCCTTTCATCAGGTAATATATGATGCTGTCCTTCATTTGACATACAACATGCTACTTAACACCCTAATAGTTAGGAATCGACTCCAGAGTCTCCTCCTCCTCCTCCTCCTCGTGTCTGAACCCAGGGTCATGCATCACTCATCCCACTGGAAGGAAGAGATAAATATTTCTTTCAGCTCTGTCACATAAGAGCTTCCTGTTGGACGAAAGGCTTCCTACTTTTTGGCTCGCAGCTTCCACATCAGCATAATTAACATTTCGTAGTGCGGAGTAGCATAATCTCTCTGATCTCTGTACACTTATGTCATAGAAACATAGCAGACGCCTGCCACTGCCATCCAGATAATGTTTTACTCTAATCAGTTATATATTCTAAGATTCACACACACACACACACACACACCACACACCACACACACAACACACACACACACACACACACACACACACACACACACACACACACACACACACACACACACACCACACACACACACACACAACACACACACACACACCCCACACACACACACACACACACACACACACACACACACACACACACACACACACACACACACCACACACACACACACACACCACACACACACACTCTGCCTCTGGCTACGTCCAGGCAGGAACATTGGTCAGATCCATGCATCATTGGTAAGAAAATCTCTCTACCCCACCGCCACCCCCGCCCCTCTGAGGCAGACCTGAAAAGATCCTTTTGTCCCTCATTCACCCGCCTGCCCCCCGCTCCCTTCTCTCCCTCGTCTCCCCCCTTCTCTGACACACACCCCTCATACAGCCTGTGGTTATGGATACCTGGCTCACACCCTCCTCCCATGTGGGGCAACGCTACCTGCATGCATTAGACCATGAAAGGCAACTCGAGCAAAAGTTCCTCATCTTCTGATGTTGTCCTTATACGAGATGCACACTCACTCTGATGCCAGAGAAAACATGAAGTCAGCTGAGGCTCATGCAGGCTACTCTCCATGTTTATTTGCACACGTCAGGGCCCTTCCTGCTGTTGATTTAGAGCCACTGCCACTTACGACTGTGAGAAATGAAATGCCCTTTTGATGACTCGGACTCTGTTTGCCATCAGCAGCTGTTGTTGCTGGCCTGCTTTTTATACTGACGTTACCTCCAGCTTTTGTCATGTAGTCTATCGGCCGCAGCACGCCTACCACATCTCTGAGAGGCTGATGCAGCAGACAGTTTGTGGCTGCAGACGCTGTCCCTCCGGATTCGGAAGCAAGGGATTCAAACGTGATTAAAGGCAATGTCAGAGTTTCCGTGTTGGATTGATTTGAGTCTCTTGCACATCCTGAAGGTGACTCTATAGCCTCCCTCTGTCGTGTGGCACAGAGCCGGTTTAATCCTCGCTGTGTGTGTACCCTGCCGGACATGTTGTCATTAGATTAACAGGTATGAGGAGTCGCTCCTGTGGCTTTGTGATCACCTGTTTGTTAATTTGTGAATATTTAGCCACACAGTGTGCCAGGGACATGTGCTGTGATTGGTCAGAATTATATCTCATCTGCGGAACATTTTGCTCTCTGCTGACCTCTGCTCTATGGGTATTACTGAAGGCTTTTATAATACACATTTATATCTTAATATACTACAACAAAGACCATTAGTGCATTGAATTAATCCACTTTTCTGTGACTGCTTTTAAAGTAAAGTTAAATATAAATTGTTATTTTTATCTATATAGTTTGTTTTATTATTTTTTCTTTACCCAGGAATCATTTTGTAAGAACACACATCACGTTGAAGTTGACATTTTAAAATTAAATTCTAGATATTGTCAGTGAAGTTTAAATATAATCGAATGAAGTAACTACGCACATCTCTTTAGTAGCAAACCTAAAAGCCCTAAAAACACCAGCTTCGCACGTGAGTGATGATGAGAAAACTCTTTTTTGCTTTAGTTGAATTTTTTTGTTCTCATGACTCAGGATTATTTTAGCTTTTGTCTCAAGGTTTGAAGTGGCTGGGATTGTGTGGAAAAAAAAGGATCTCACATATTTCTTTTTCCAATCAAGATTCAGCAACATTTAAATCAACATCTGATTTAGTTGTTTACTTCGGTTTGCAGGTCGCTGTCATTCACATCTGATCAAACCACACGTTCCTGGTGACGCAAATAAGGAGCTTTTGAGTTTGAAATGCTTTATAAATAATACCAACTGAAATGTTCGTAACTTTAATTTATTTTAGTAAGACACATATTTGTGACTTTTCATACATTTAAAAAAAAAAAACTGCTTTAAAAACACATTTTCAGGGGCTTTCAGTGAAATGTTCAGATTATGGTGTTTTTTTGTTGTTTTAGTATTTTCATTTTATGCTACTTTACACTCTTACTGCGCTACAGTTTTAAGGGAAATCTGACCATAGATACTGCACTACATCTTACTCTTTTCAGAACATAATTAATGGATTGCTCAATATGAACATAAATAAGCTTACATTTGCTTTAATTTGCCTTAATGGTCCACTAGCATGATAATAAATAAAGACAGGGGATTTTCTGTGTAATACTGTAAATGTATTTGGCTGAGAATACATCTGTACTATTTTAAGGTCAAATGTTGAAGGCAGAACTTTTTCTTATTGACAAGAATATGTGGCATTTCTAATTGTACTCAAGTAAATTAACTCCATGCTTTTCTCATCACATAGAATACAAATGTAAAAAGGAGAAACACTGACCAAAGAGCCTGATGATGGAAGGTCTGCTGAGGACATTCAGACAGACACATCGCTCAAGCACAACCATATGGATCTCTGTAGGTGATATATGGGGAGCACAGCCCCGGTGTTGTTAGTAGACCTGAGGGGATCAGAGGGGGAGAGACAGGCAGAGGGAGGGAGGCCTCCGGGATGCAGAATACCTCAAGGTCCCTCCATGAAGCCGGGCGTTGCAGCCCTGCAGCCCTGCAATCTTCGCAATCAGGCAGTAATGCTAGCAGCGACTGTTTCAGATTATGCTCAGGAAATCCTCTGTGCTCTCTGCTCAAAACAATTTACCCTGACATGAGCCCAAAGAGGAGTGGGGGGTGGGGGTGGGGGACAGGAGAGCTGCCCTCACCAGATTCCTGCTCTCAGGCCAACATATTCTCATATTGCTACAAATATAGTCCCTTTTATTTATTATTATGAGTAGAACATTGTTGTTGTTTATTATGGAAATTATTATTATGACCCCTATGAGTGGGAGTGTCTGCTAATAGTCTTATTTTATTTAAGAAATTAAATGTCTCTTATTTGAGCCACTAATATTTGTTTTGTTTGTAGGGTATCTATATTGATTTCATCAGGCAATTACGTTTTTCATATGGGATGTTTGAATATCCAGAGTTTGTATAAGAGGTTGAGTGGTGGCTCTTTCCCATGGCCCGGAACCGACAGAGCAAACTCTCGTAGAGTGTAAAGAAAACACGGCAACAAAAAGCCAATGATCCGCAGCACTCGGGCTAGAAATGACGAAAAAGGAAAAAAAAAAAATCCTTTCTCCTTCAGTCATCATATTACAGAGCAGACAATCAAAGGGACCAACGCTGGTTCCTGCGCACAACAGCCTCCTGACAGACAGCTGCTCATGATGACTCACGTTTGTATAATTACATTTCCCTTTATGACTCTGTGTTTGAAATATATGATTTGAATTAGCATTATTATTGTTAAAAGCCCAAAGAACCCGTGGAGCAGGTTTTAATATTTGACACAAAATTACTCACATTATGTTTGATATCTCTCCAGCGTATTATAATTGTTTGTCATTTTCCATGTATTTACTCATTCTAAGCAGCAGGCATAAATAAAGCCTAATTGTACAGGTTAACAACAATTGTGAAACAAATATTTAACCTGATTTTCACCACTTCCCAAATAGTTACAATAAAGATAGTCCAGATTAATTTGTTTTGCATATGCTGAAACACTATAATATAGAATTAAATTAATGTCTATTTTTTCTCTAAATACACAAATAACACAGAGACAATTGTATTACTTTTGTTTTATTGGAAACTAATTACCACGACTAATGAAAACGTTACCTCTTAGTTTCCATCGCAGGATGTTGCTATAATCCTTTTATATCAACAAAATATCATAAATTAAGCAAATGGGCAGTCCAGTTAAGTGTCTCGTCGAGTTAAGAGTTTCAGACAGGTCCTGTTTGTATGTTTTCGTGTGCAGGAGACGAAAATGCTCCTGTCAGTGGGGATATACAGTTTAAGCGCATAAAAGGAATTTTGTCCTAACCAAATTGAACGACAGACAAGTCAGTCTATATTATAAGGTAGCTACTATAGTGTTATTTCATACATCAATCTGATACACTTATCAGTCCTCTTTCTTTCTGTTGTTGTAAAATAAAATAATCTGGCAGCCTCTTTAAGAGCCCAAATCCACAAGGCTGGAGGTTAGAGGTCCCAACAAGGAGTCCTGCAGTTGGTGCGGGTGTCCGTGCATGCTGTGCACCGGCTGTGGGGGCCCCAGGCCGGACATGGGGTACGCGGAGGCCCCGGGGTGGTTCATGTTGCCCTGAAGCATAAGCGCTGAGTTCGGGTCGGGGCTCTGGGGTGGAGAAAACTCGTCCTCCGAACTGGACATGAGAGACTTTCCTCCGTCCAGCGGGGACAGCTGGTTCTGTTTGTTGCCGCCTGCGTTGCTGTTTTCACTGTTCTCCCTGAATATGACAACAAGGAGAAATTAGAAGAAAAAAAACGCTCAGTTTTGGAAAATAGCATTAAATCCGTTGATGACAACAAAACAAAAAATAATTCATAATTGTTGTTGTATTCACACCAAAACATAATAGGCGTAACCATTGAAGTTAAACTAATAAAGGAGGAAGTTTAGTTATTGAACTTCTCTGTAAATGTGTTTTGAACACGTTTATTTCTCTTCCTGTTGATGTTCCCGGCAACTTTAAATCACGTGTTGTGTGCCTTAATTTACTCCACTGTAACCTAGTTTAACCTTTCAAACGTGAAAAGTTCACAAAATGTCACGTAGCTTTTTGTATTTTTCAAACATTATCACACACAATGTTATCCCCTTTCCTAATGTTTTAAAAGGTTTATGTTATCATTCAGACTGAAATCAGGAGAAAGCCAAACATTTGTAAACAACAAGCTTCTGTTTACTCACAATTATTGTCATCAGGAAAAATCAAATGTAAGCAATATATAGGCGTAACAACCACATTTTTAAAAAAGTTCAAAGATGTTATTATCAGAAATACAATCGTTTGCCTTTCTTGCGTCAGAAATATGAACACTGCGATTCCTGCACTTTCTGAACCTTTTGCTGCTTTAAGCCACATTTTGTAAATATTTAATTCCAACTCAAGCCTTATTTTTTGTCTTAAAACATGCAAACAATGATAATATATTTGTCTATTTATTCCATGCAGCACGGAGGCTGTATCACGTACCTCTCCTTCGCCTCTGCGGCTCTGTCTCGCTGCCGTCTGTTTTTGAACCAGTTGCTGACCTGCGTGGTGGTCAGTCCTGTGGCCTCGGCCAGCTCTCTCTTTTCCCGCGGGGAAGGGTAGGGGTTGTGCGTGTACCACTCTCTCAGGACTCCCCGGGACTTCTCTTTAAAGCAGTAGCTGGTCTCCTCGCCGTCCCATATCGTGCGGGAAGCGGGAATTTCCTCCGCACCCGGTACTTCCCTACAGCTCCGAGCGGCCGTCCGCGCAGCTTCTCCGCCTCCACGTAGTGCGCCTTGAGCCAGAGCTGCTGCAGCTTTGGGTGGTTGTGCGGAGAAAACTGGTGGCTTTCTAGGAGCTTGTAAAGCTCTCTGAAGTTCCCCCGATGAAAAGCCACCACTGCCTTGGCTTTGAGGACGCTTTCGTTCTTGTGGAGGTGATCGCAAGCCGGCAGGGACCACAGGAAGCGGCCGAGCCTCTCCAGGTTCCCTCCCTGCTGCAACACCTCGCAAACGCACGCCACTTGCTCCTGCGTAAACCCGAATGACGGCAATATAGACATGATGTCCGAGCTTGCGCCTCCGCCCAAAACGTTGGTATCCAACACGATAGCTGTCGTTTATTTCTCAGTGTTTATAGTTTCTGGTCGCGATGCAATCCAGCGCGATCCGTCCGCGCAGCTCAGGCCTATAGGCGATCCTCTCCACTACAGCCCCTGATGCGCGCAGCAGATTGGGATGTTGATTGTTGGGACAATTTGTTCCTGTTGGAGATATGTCAGGCTTAAAGGGAGCCTGTGCGTTTCGGTGATTGGCTCTCCCTCTGCCCTGCACCGTGTACAGCAGAGCAGGACTGAGTTTGCAGCTCCGTTTCCTCCCCAGAGGCAGTGCGTCAGGGGCTGAAATAGGAGCGCTCCCACCTCCCGCCCCCACAGTCCCTCTGCCGCTGCAGCTCAGGGAGCACAGCACCTAAACACTAATCAATTATTACAGACCTCTTAAAAAGCCTTATTAACATGTTCTGAATATACATCCTCTGTAATGCTGGCAACTATATAGGCTTCCAGATTTCCCTGGTGGTTCAAAACCACACACTGCATCTCCAAACGTTATCAGTAATCACAGCCAGTGGAGGGTGAAGCCACAACAACACCATGCTTTTTATCTGTAAAGGAAAGTGTATCCAGTTTATGGGCTGAAACACTTAAAATCAATTACATAATCAATCAATGATTGTTGTCTGCAGAATTGTTTTAATTTCAACATAACAAAATATGAATCTTGATTTATGTTTTCTTCTTTAAACTGGAGGTTTATTTACCGTCACAGCTGATCAGGGTTGACGCCCCCCACCTTAATTACATGCAGATTTAACACTTTTGTTGTATCCTCACCTTTCATACTCTATTAATTACCGAGGCCGTTTATTTTATGAGGTGATATAATCTAATAAGTGCCCATGTTTGTTGGGTCCATTTGTGCCATTACGCACGCCTTTTTATACGAGAAAATCTAAACTACCTGCCAAACGTGCTACGGGACATATAGACCACCAGTAGGAAACGGAAATCAGCACTTAAAGTGTGTGTGCTTGTGTGCGCGTCTGAGTGCGTGCTTTTGTGTGTTTAAGATTGTAAATAACAGACAAACATGCACATATTCAGCACCCTTCACACTCGTTTTAATGCGTAAAATAAATTGAGATATGTCAAGCTGGAATTTAATAAGTGAGAGTTTTGATTTTATACAGACACTTTTCTTTATTTTTGTTTGTAGATTTTTAAATGAATATTAAATACTGGACATATTTCACAGACCTCCCTCCTTCTTTAATTTGTTGTTGTGGTTTATTTATTTATTTATTTTCGTCACGTGTTTTTGAAGAGCTCCTTCCAGCCTGTAGTCTACATTTATATTTCAGGGATTAGACGGGCACCGCACTGGCTCCAGTGTTTTCTGTGGGGTGAAACACTAAACCAATCCATTAGTAAATGAGTTCTCTGCCACACTGGTTCTTGGTGGTGCAGTTGTTGGTTCGAGCCGTATAGATCACATTTCTTTATCTGCAGCGTCTGAAACTAGACTCCCTTAGTTTATGGAACACGATTTGACCTAGAAAATATGATTTAACTTAACAAACTCACTTAAAACGTTTTGAGAAGATGACCTCCTTTTAAAATGTTTTTTTATTATAAAGCCAAAATGCTTTGAACGTGTTTTTGTGGCGACAGACAGCTGAAATAACAGAGATCAGTTGTAAACAGCTCCACTCTGGAAAACCTTTTATTCCCTACATTGTCTTGCGAAAAAACAGGAATCCCAAATAGGCTACAACATAATCACAACATATTATCCCATATTAGAGAATGTTGGCATATGTTACTGAAAAATAAGGTTTAATTAATAATGACTGAATCAGGTTGGGTCAGGCCGTTGAGTATGCTTATTTTTGTAAGTGTAAATTAAAACAACACTGCAGTTTAACGTTATCACCACCATCATTTTTTGCATGGTTTATTTGAGTATTTATCAGATACTGCAAGCTATTTTCTGCCTGAATTAATGCACTGTAATTACAGTTTGTCTGGAGGAAATATCACATTATTGGATCCATCACACTTAAAGCTATAGTTGCATCCTACAATGCCTGAAGTTTTAGAGTTATTATAATGATTTTCAGCAATATCTTTAACAGTGTCATCAGCCTGCAATAAACGCAATAAATAGATTTTTTTTTGTATAATACTGAATACAAATATAATTTATGTTTGATGAAAAAAATATATAATTTAAAATGAATGAAAGTAGATTTTAAAACAGCTAATTCTCATGTTATTGTGCGGCAAGGCCATCGTGCCATATTGCCTAAACATGACGAATCTGCTGTGATTGACTGCTGGACTGTCTTCAGTGGACACACAGGCTCTCAGGCCACTTGAGGCCGGGGTCCAGCAGCACTCGGCTGTGTGTAAAACCTCAGAGCTTCAGTAAATGAGCTGTCTGATGAGCGGCTCTCGGGTTTCTCTAATATCTCTACCACATTGCGCCGCGCCTCCTCCTTTAACCCGAGCAGCCCGGGGGGCGAGATTATTTCAAGATGTGGACTCTCCGCCTCTTACACGGCCAGGGCTGCATGGGCTCCTCAAACCCCGAGAAGTAATGCAATACTTAGGTAGGCTATCACTCGTTCCTCCTCTCATAGTGGGCCAGGGAGTCTTTATTCTCGTTATTTTCTTTACGCGAAACTCGTCTTTTACCCTATAAAACGCATTGAATCTGCCTGCCTCTCCTGGACGCTCGGGGCTGTTAAATATCACGGATGGATGCTCCAAGTTTTAGTCAATGCCTTTCCGGAAAACCAAAATGAGTCACACTGTATTCACCAGGAGAAAAATAAACTTTTTGCCATTTCTCAATAAACTGATTTAATGGAGGTAGCCTCAGAGAAATGTGGCCCTCTGCTTGTTACGTTATGCTACCTCATGATGATAGCAGTTTTGAGGTGAAAACGATTTATTGATTACTGATTTATGAAAATAGCTGTATTATAGGAATTTGTTACACCCTACATTACTGGGAAAACGAATGAAAAGTCACGGTGACTCCGGTCCTGTGGGACAAAACGACAGAAAAGAAAAGTCCCAACTCAAAACACCAGAAAACACTTCATAAAAATGTCATCATCAGAAAAGCCAGTGTTTCCTATTGGAGAGAGTTTATTTTTTTGAGAAGTGAACCGACCACTGGCTCAATGAACAGATGGTTTTCACTCTATCTAAATCCAAAGTGCTATTTCAGCTGTATCGACTGGAACAAAGCTGATACTGTTTAAATTAAGTGAAAAATGTCTGATTTGGTCCTTAGGGTTTTTTTCCGGGAGGGATTTTGGTGACATCTTAAGGGTGTCCTCTTACTGCACTGAAACAACATAGCCTAGTGAACATTTATTTATTTATCCAATCAACAAAATGAACAACGCAGCGTCTTCCTTTAAGTCAAGATTGTTTAAAGCATTCGTACACAAGAGGTACATTTATTTTATTTTTGTTTCCTTATAGACATAGCCTAATTAAATCACAAAAATAATAATTTGACTAACTGCACATTTATTGACAGATTGTAAAATCGTATCAATAGTAAACGATTGGTGTTACGTTTCTGGTTATTCCAAGATGTCCTAAATGTGTGCATTTAATTAAGAACTAAAGCGCTTTATTCTGTGAGGTGAAAGGCAGTGAGAAAAAAAGCAGCTCCTTCTCTCAAAACAAAACACAACTGTTGACATGAGTGAGTTAAATGAAATTGGAGCTGCAATTATCAGCTTAACAGAGTTTCCTGTCATGTTGGAAAATTAGACCTGGTACAAGTGCACTGGGGTTAGCCCCCCATCAAAATCATTACGCATTTCCTCAGAGGACCACCTTCACAAATATGCAATTACGGCCTCGGCTTTTACAGTGCTCTGCTCGGTAAACACGCCCCGGGCATACAGATGATTAGGACAATTCTCTCTTTTTTTAAGCTGCAGGGCTGTAGTAAGTAAACAAATAAGGCGGTAAAACAAACACATAAACAAACAAAAGGAAGGATTAAAATGGGATGTGTCGCGACTCGCTATACCATGTGAGCCTTCTGGCAGGGAGGGGGCGCCATGACAGTGCTATCATACAAGTCAGGATGTTACTCCTCGGAGGATGCATGTGTTTTAGCAAATGACAAAGTTATAGCAGGCCGTTGAGCAGCAGGTGTGTGTGCGTGATCTCCACTGATCATGGCAGGCCTCATCTGCTGCTGCTCCTGTTACAAAGTGCTGTTTTGCTCTTTGGGAAATGCTGTGGATGTGGACCTGATGCTGCCCCCCAGCTGCTGCCTCTGTGTGAGTGTCACATTCACCAATGCACTCTCAAAACTGACTTGTGCTTTCTTTCCTTGCAGTCCTAAGGAAACCAGTGAATCATGCTGGTTGCATCTTTCCCACACCGGGTGATGAAGTGCACATACCTTTTACCCTGCCAAGCAACAACCCAATTATTTTAAGTGGAGGTAAGAGAAAAAGCAACAAGGCTTGAGGACATGTATTCCTACTAGTTCATAAACACCACCTACTTTCCACAACCCAACAAGAGCCAGGGGCAGATTTAGTTTCTGCCAGGAGGGAGAAGTCCTCTCATGCCTTGGCCAGTAGTGGTGGGTCTTTGCAGCAGGCTGGTACCCGCTGACCCCTGCCCTCTCATTAGTGGGACGTGGAGCAGTGGAGTACCATGCTCCCCAGGTCATGTTACATATGGCTTGCAGTCTGCTGCGCCGCATTAAATGTCAGCTTTGAAACCATCTGAAAGATCATAGGTCAGTGTTTTTAATAAGGCCAGAGTTCTGGGGGAGTTCCCCCATTTTTTATTGCACACCCAAGTAAGTTTTACATTGCATATTTGAAATTGTGGACAAAATGATCCACTACTATTTAGATACGGGGATCCTGATATTCCCACATGAAGGGGAGCAGTTAAAATGTAAAATTCAACAACCAGCAGTCCTCATGAAAAATGCACAACACATCTTCTGTGAGGGAACAATTGTGTTCCTTTCCTGTCTAATTTATAGGCACAATACAAAAGGTGGAATTTGGAGTTTTCTGTGGCCCCCTCCCCGTGAGACCCACGGACCATGCTGCGAATGGGATATTGTTCTGGGCTCCAACAAAGCTGTTTTCACCCTCTTCAATATTACAGGAGGAGTTACCTGATACCTAACAATCAGCTAATCCACTGCCCATGGCGACGAGGTCACCTGTGCACAGGTAACTTTATCCCGGGTAGCTACCTCTCCCTCCCTTTCCCGCTAGACTCTCCCATTTTTCTTCTCTC